TTTCGAAAACTATTCAAGCAAATTCTTCGTCGCAGTTAATTTGTTGATGTTTCGCGCTTGAAGAGGTGTTTCGCTGGCGCAAGGATGGTAATTCTCTGTAATATAAAAATATTGGCATCATTGTCTTTTTTTGGTTTTTCCACCCGCGTTATGCGGTGTTAAGCGATGTTAAACCTCGCACAACACGGTTATGGGCTTACCGAAAGACTTTGAAAAGAACAGAAGGTATACATGAAAATATTCGACAAACGCTTACAACTGGAAAGAAAGTGCGAAAATTACAGTGTTTACTCTCAACAGGCGAGAAAGAAAAATTAGCATTTCACACTGAATTTATCAGCTTTTATTTTGATAATTTTTCTCTTTTGTTACTGCAACAATCGCTTATATTTTTTGACAACCGAAAAACACGAGCGAGAAAAGAAAACAGAACGTCGGTCGTACTTTCTAATTATGCTACGAGCTAAGATGCAAATTTGTTTGCAAGTAGGCGGGAAATTTTCTGAAGAACTAGAAAAAGGAGAATGTTGCGAAAAACTGGCGAAAGTACTTTTGTAACTATCGTCCGATCTATGTTACACCGTTGATGGAAAGGTTTCTTTGTATTAAACCCCTAGTTTCTTGTAGATTTGTGAATTTGTTGGCGTTTTGAAGCAGTTTCACCTGTCATCTTTTAAACTAATATAAAAAACACTCGCGCACAAGTTGGCTAATGCAATTTAACACCAACATAATTGTATTTTGTTCAGCTTTCAACAAGGTTCGTCCTCGAAAGAATCAGCTGGATTTATGGATTTTTGCTTTAAAAATGCCGCTATATTTGAGATGAAACATTCGAAATAAAAAAAACTTTACTTACAGTCATATTTTTAAGCGAGAATGCTAAATCTTGTGAAAACTCATTTACATAGGGCATTGTCGTAACAGCAATACAGCATCATCCAATCAAATCCTGTCAATTGCAAGGGTCTTTATAATATAACTGACTGATTTTTGGCGGGAATTATTTTAGCTATCGAAATATGGCCGGGCGGCTTTTATAAGTTATCGTTTGTTTATCACAAAGATACTGAATATTAGGAACCGAAGAAAGCGACCAGAAGGTTCCTGCGGCGTCCTTCGATTTTTTTTTGGCAAGAAGATCATTATAGGGGAACTCGAGTCTCCAGTTCACAAGTCAGGGCTTTTTTGTACATTCTACGAAAAACTTAGATCTTAGTGCCTTTTTCGAAAATCACAGCAGACTTTTTTAGTACCCAAAACGAGATTTTTATCGAACCGAAAACAACAGGCTTTAATTGAATTTCTCATATCCTGAAAGTTCGAGGTAACAATTCACTTGAAAATCGGAGGGGATTAAAGGCCTTACGAACAGCTAACGCACCGAGACGATCCAATGGGTTCCGGTCCCTGATGCAAGTAGTTTCTCGGTGACGTTTATAATTTGTTGTTCGCTGGTCACTTAAAGTCCTGGGGCCCGTTTCTCGAAAGCCCCGGAAACTTTTCGGGCCCGAAAAGCCATTTTTAGTTAATCGGCATTTAAAAACAGAGAGGTGTATACACCTGAAACTTCTTGTATGAAGGGAACCTCTGTTCATATTAAGAATACGTGAATAAAACGGCTCTGTAGTCATAAGGTTTGAGATTTTGCTACGGCTTTTCGGGACCTTTCAGAAACGGGCCCCTTCCGGCCTCAAGAATCCTCATGGGCACGATGAGGATGAGTAGTAGTAGAAACGGGCCCCAGGGGCCCGTTTCTCGAAGGTCCCGAAAAGTTTTCGCACCCGGAAAGCCGGAGCAAAATATCAAACCTTATGATTATAGAGCTGTTCTCTTCACATATTCTTAGTATAAACAGAGGTTCCATTCCGTACAAGAAGTTTCAGGCGTGTACACCTCTCTGTCTTTAAAACCAGATTAACTAAAAATGGTTTTTCGGGCGCGAAAACTTTCCGGGGCTTTCGAGAAACAGGCCCCTGGGCCGGGTTGTTCAAGGCGCGATTAAGCTAACCCAGGATTAGCGAGAATTTTGATTTGGGTTTGGTAATTTTCGGTGAGGTTTTCAGTTTGTCCTTCACTTTTGAGTTTGAATAATCTCAAACTACACAAAACATGAGTAGTCAAAAACGTTTTTACACAAGAAAAAAGACTACTTCGATTAACTTTAAACCTGGGTTAGCGTTAACGGGCTTTCGAACAACCAGGCCCTGAATAATAGGGAGCGAAGAAAGCGACCTTTTCGGTTTCTTTGGTATCTTTCGATTTCTTATCAATGTAATTCTGTTTTTTTCTGTGAGCGTCGCGTTAAATCTAGGTGGTGCCGAAGAAGATTGACATCGTTTGCCGTATCACCTGGCCAAAGAGTTCATGCATGTTGTCACGTACGCTCATTTATAGCAACTTTTTATAGCATTAAAGGGGTCTTTAAATCTTGCAAATCGAATGAACATTCTCGTTTGTTTCTCTTTTTTATCGTCGTCAGTTCCTACTCATTATTGTAGACAGACGTAAGGTTCCGCATACGTTATAAATGCGCACGGTTTTGCTTATTCAGAACACGTTGCCATCACTGTTATCGCCGATTTTTTTTTTTTTTTAATATATGGAAACAACTCTGTAGCGATCATTGAGACAACGATCGCTGGGATATTTAGACTTTAATTCTATCGCGAC